ATTTGCACGTTAATATTTCTGCGTGGTTTTAAACAATTATTGAGACATTACCAAGCAAAATGAAGTGTGCAGTGGCAAAGTGTAATAGTGAAAACAAAAGGAAAGCGTGCGATATAATTTTTTTCTCGTTTCCTACGGACGCAAATCTGGCGAAAAGTGGAAGCAGTTCTGCCGGCGAGGAGATGCATTAAAAGCCCCATATCGAGCTATATGTGCTAGTACTAGTAGTATGTAGTATGTACTAGTGAAGATATTGAAAATAATACACAGTTCGAAATGAGTAACATATTAGGGGTATTCTCTGAGTCTTGCAAAGCCCTTGCATGGCGCACAGATTGCACGGATTGCACGGTTAAAACCGGTTTTCGTATGGGACAGCTTTGTAGTGTAACTGAAAGTCTACCATGCTTAACGTTTATAATTATTTAATTTATTCATAACAACAAGGGTTTCATATTTCAGTTGTTTGAATATTTTGAATATAGAACTCACGCATTGTCAGGCACACGTGCCAAACCGTCAAACAAACTAACTTTAAGCTTCAATTTATTTGTAATATTATTTATGCTTATACAGCAATTATTTCCCATAAATACCCCAATATGTTAGGCTAAGAATTCAATTGTAAAAGAACCTACAAAGCGACATTGAGTTGCTCAGTAAAATAAATTCAATACAATTAAAACATAAATGAATTGTTTCATTCGATACATGGCGATACTGCCAGCTTTTTGCGAAAATTAATTTGCAAAAAAGCTATCCTGCCAACCGGTGCTTGGATTTGAATTGCACAGTGGCAGTCTAGTGCTTTGCTGCACAGATCAGCCTGAATTCTGGTTTGCTTAGATTGCAACATTTTTAAAATTTTGTGCTTAAAAATTATGCACTAAAAAGCACTTTGACTTGGTCAGCCAAAAAAAAAAAAAAAAAAAAAAAAATCAATCAATCATCAAACAAAAAAGCCTGACGGAGAGTCAGCTTAAAACTAATTTGTCCTGACGTGGATCAGCCACAAAGATCCGTCAGCTGCATGATGAAGGAAGGACCACAACCAATAACTCTCGAGGAATATAGAAAAAGAACCAGCAGAAAGACAACAGATGAAATTACCATTCCAAAAGCACAAAAGCCAAAAAGAAGAGGAGGTTACATGCAAAAACTAAAACGGGAGAAGGCAATCCTACTAAGAACAGTTAATACAAGGCCGCCACCACCATGGGATGCAGCAACTAAAATATGGAGTAGAATCTCAGAGGTAGAATTCCTGATGGAGCAGTATTTAGTAAATAGAAAGCAAAATTAAAAAAAAAAATAATAAAAAATATAAATTATATTATAAGCAAACAAAAACTGATGTGCGTCAATCCGCACTCATAGGGCCAGTAAGCGAATTTTCGCTCGTGGCAAAAATATTTTTTTTTATATACATATACAATACCTTTCTTAACTTACTTTCAATCTTACTTTTAAAAAAAAAAAAAAAACTTTTTATGACTTTTTTTTTAAATATTAAGCCAAAATTTTAGCAATAAAAATAAATAAATGTTAATTAAAAATTTACTAAAATAAGAATTAATTAAAAAAAAAGAGGGTTATAGTT